AACCAGGGCCAGTTCCCGGCACTCAGCATCCTGTCTCGACCAGGTCCACATGACTTTCTGCAGCCTCCAATCTAGGACTGAAGGAGAGGATTTCTCCTGCAAAGATCTCCCTTTTGCCAGACCCCAGGCCCACCCTGTTCTATCACTGGGCACTCCTAATGTGCCTGTGTGCCGAGGGAGGGGCCGTGGCCTGGCTGCATCACATGCCCTCCCAGCCAGGACAAGTCTTCTTCACCCTCCCCCACTCCAGGAACCCACCCTGGCTCACCCTACTCCCCTCACCCCTCCTGGACCTGTCTTGGTGCTGGGCACCCACCTCTTTGCCACCCACTGGTCTCTGACTCAGCTTGTTGTAGCTCCCTGTTCAAACCCGCTGCCTCCTCTATCCCCTCATAGGTCCCACCCTCTTGCTCTCAATGGCTTCCCCCCCCCCCATTTTCTCCCGGGGGAAGAAGAGGAAGTGAAAATCTGGGTTTTAGAATAAGATGGATGAACATGAATTCGGATCTCAGCTCAAAGGTGGGATTTACTCACCAGCTATGGGCCTCTTGGGCAGCTAACCTCACTGCCCTCAGCCTCAGTTGTTCCAGGTAGAATGGAGATCATGATACTCATATAGCAGGGTGACTACATGAGATAACATGCTCAGTATCCAGCGTCAGAACTGGCCTAAGAGGTGAGCCAGTCAGGCAGCTGCCTAGGGTGCCATCTTTACGAGGCGCTCAAACAACACTGGAAATATAAAACCATGTCTGGAACTCTACTAAGGGACAGCTGGAAGTTCTGCTTTAATGAGCTACTTGCAATGGGGTGGGGGGGACCCCAAAAGAGCAGGCTAGAATAATAACTGTTGGTCTCTAAGCTGTTTCCTAAGGAGCACCCTCCTTAGGACAGGGTTTCTAAGGAGCTTTTGTCTAATTCAGGGATGCAAGTTTGGGGTCAGAGGAGCTGGAGCATTGCCAACAGGGACACCCTCTTCTCTGTTCTCTGCCCCGTTGCTCCGAGCACAGATCAGTTGCCACTACATTACAGTTGAACTGAGAGTAAAACTATATCAGCTTGATGGGACATAAAATTATTAGCTCTCCTAGGATACCCACATGTTTGCCCATTGGGCCCTTCTGGGCATGTGGAGGCTACTCAATAAATGTTAGTTGGGTCTGTCTCTCCAGTTCTTGGCTCTAAGACTTTTCTCCAGCCCCCTCCACTCAGCTCAGCCCTCCTCATATCCTCTCTACTTGGTCTTAGTGTCACAGCATCATTTAGTTCTTCACTCCACACCCCATCCCCCCAACCTTAGCCCACTGGCCCAACCCATTCTGGAAGCCTCAAGGCTTCTAACAGGCTCATGGTTTCCATTTTGGGGGAAATTAGTTCTCATAGATTAGCCTGTTTAAAACAGCAGCCAACAGCCACTAGCTTGCCCAGGAAAGTACTTTATTATCTTAAATGTCTACAATCAGGCAGTCCCAGCGTACCAATGAGTTATATTTCAAAACTTTTTTCTGTGAACTGAATTGGCCTTCCAGACAATGAGCCAATAGAAAATTGAGGACTTGGCGTTATGGATGGAGCTCAGCTTCCCAGGTCTGAGCCGTAAATGCCCTTTTAACCCGTCACAAAGCTGGGCTGCCACACACCTACATGGGGAAATAAGAAAACCCTATTGTTGCAAGACCTGTAGGTAGAAATGGAAAAATAATAATGCCGATCTAAAAAAAGTCTGTTTATTTTTTTCTTAAAAGCTGGTGCTTGAGGGAAAGCAGGTTTCTTAACAAGAGTATGAGGAGATGGGTGGGACATTCTGAAGAAAACTTTGAGGTGCTTTTCAAGGGCTTTAGAGGCTGAAAGCCTTTGTTCTTCATCACTCTAATTAATCTTTCTGACGTTCAGTCTGCCTTTTTCTTGACACAGGGGTGGGCCTGGCTCCATCCTGACACTCACTCAGTCAGCCAGGATTGTTTGGGTAGATAGAATAAACTGTGGGGAAAAGACCTCCTGAGGTAATTGGGGTAGAGTTGTTAGAAAGGAGATGAAGGAAATAGATTCAAGGGTGTGTAATTTGGGTTTTAAAGATGGCCTTAGGAAGAATGCGCTGAGCTGAACTGATCAGGGTAAAAATACAAAGAACAAAAACAGAGAGAAAAGGGAGATTATGGTACATATATGAACCCTTCCTCCCAAAACCCCCAAAGAAAAAAAAGGAGGTGAAGGGGTTGGGCACCAGACACTTCCAAGGCCGGCCACCAGGTGACACCACAGGCCCAGGACAGCTTGGTTACTGTCTGTGGCAGGTTGAGGGGACTTGGGAAGCCCCAGGGAAGTGGGGAGTCATTGGTCCTGAAGTACAGGACATTCTCAGATTCGGTCCTCATTCTGACTGAGTTGGAGAGAGTATGCTCACGCACATGCCCTTTCTTTCCCAGCCACCACCCAGTCTCCCTGAGGGGTTTATGCTGGTATATAAGGTGGGGTGGGGATGGGATGGTGCCCAGAGGGATGGGGGCCAGGAAGAGGGGGCGAGTGAAGAGAGTTGGAAGAGGGGCTCAGGAAGGCTTTGCACAGAACCTCGATAGTGTGAGGGGACAGAAAACAATGAACCTTTATTGAGTCCGCCCCCACTCACAGGTCTTGACACAGGGAGGGCCAGGGGCAATCAAGCAGCCCCACCTACAGGACAACCCACGGATGCAGGTGATTCAGAGTTTAGGTTTGGCTGATAACAGCCTGGTCCAGCTGAGAATGGGCCCTTTGTGAGGGTTGTCCCTCCTCAGGCCCCCTCCTCACACCTGGGCCAGCTAGAGCAGGCCTGAGAGGAGGGCTGCCCTGCGGGAAACAGGACTGACTGGAAAAATGCAAAGACACCCAGCAGCCTCTACTGCGAGATGCCGTGTGGGAACTTAAGATGCCTCAGAGCAAATGTGCAGGAGAAAGATACAGCTGGGCTGGAGCCCACATTCTTTTCTTTCACGTTTTCCCCCTCAGCTGTGTCTCCCCCAACCCCTATCCCACTGATTCCCCCAGGGAGAAAAAAACAGCACTTTCACTACAATGTAAATCAGGACTCTGGGTTGCAAATGACTAAAACCCAATTTGAATCAGTTCGGCAAAAAAGGGGTATTGACTAACTGGCTCCATCAGGGCCAGGATGGAGCAGGCCTCAGGGAGGCCTGGAACGAGGCCTGAGCACCCTGCTAGAACGCTCTTCTCTTTCCACCAGATGCTGGTGGCAGCCTTTCTTCTGCAGACAGGTTTTGGCCGCTCTGTCAGGGAAAATGACCATGGTCAGTCAGTTCAGGGTCATAGTTTCATAGTTTCATGACCAGAAAGGAAATTGTATCATCTGCTACCAGGTTTGGTTAGGAAAAAAGTTCTCAGGAAGAACTCTGGTTGGCTCTACTTGAGTCACGTGCCCAGTTCTGGACAAAATGCTGTGGCCAGGGAATGCATTACTGTGATTTTCCCAGACTGAGTCACTTGCCCAACCCTGTGGCTAGGGAGAATGAGGCACAGGGCAGACAAATATAAGAACCTCCTTGCTAGGCACTTGGGGTTTCATGTGGTAGAACAGCTAGTTGGCCCCTAGTAAAAATTTTCCCTTTTCTCTAACAGAAGAAGTGTTTACTGGATACATGGCTGCCTGAAATAAAAACTACATTTCCCAGGCTCCCTTGCAGCTAACACAGCCATGCGTCTAAGGGTTCTGGCCAATGGGGTGTGAGCAAAAGTAAGGTGTGCAACATTCAGAGGGTGTCCTTAAAAGGAGGGAAGCAGCCCTTCTTGAACCTCTTTCCCCACCTTCGTGCAGTCTGGAAGCCTACATCATGGTGAGCCACCTTGGATCCTATGGGTAAGAACAGGAGTATAGGGATGGCACAGTAGCAAGTTAGTTAGAAGAAGTCTGAGTTCCTGATATCATTTTGGCCCCCAAATGTTTATTCCTAGACTGTTACACAGGGGAAACAAATATCTCTCTTGTTTCAACCATTCTAATTTTGAGTCTCTGTTATATGAGCCAAGTAATTCTAAGTAATACATCTGGGGACCTTTTCACAGTACCCACTGCTGTGAGCTGAAAACTCTATCTCTTGTATCTAGGACCGAATTTATTCCCTGGCCATGTGTACCTCCATCGTGCCTATGACCAGCCCACCTTTTGCTGAGAGTGTGACAAGACATATCACAGGGCCGGATCTGGCCTCCCTAACCTGAAAAAGTTATTTTCATTTCTCCCCACATACTAACTCCATCTGAGTTGACTCAGGGGTTCCTAAAGAATACAGGCCGTGGCCCCTTCATCAAACTGGGGACTCCTGAGCACTAGAGCCCTAATGGAGAAATAGGAAGTCTTTGCCCCTCTCTGCCTGCAGGATATGAGCTGTGCCCCTTCCATTAGGGTAAAGCACAGCAGGTAGCCCATCTCTCTTTGAGACAGGGCACTGGGGGCACAAAGCTCCTGAGAGCCAAGCAATGGAGGAGTCAGGAGAAACTGCTGATAGCTGCCTTTCCTCTTGTCACCTGGGAGTGCTCCATCCCTGGGATCTTACTCAGATCTTCCATGGCCCGTGGTCCTGTGGGAGGGAAAAGAAAGCACCAGCTGGGTAGGTCTTGGGTGTCTGCGACTGGGAAGAGGTCAGTGTAGGAGATGAAGCACAAAAAATAATGGAAGGACTTTGTGTCTAATGATCCTCCACCCTCATTCCAAGCTTTTATAATTGAAGAACGATAATTGAGTTGAGCCCAACTGGGAAATCCAGAAGGAAACATTACCTCGGTCCACAGAAACACAGGTTGGGACTGGGCCGGGCTTTTCCTTTCTTTCTGTACTAATTGTGTTTAAGAACAATGGTGGGCAGACCCACATCTTTCTTGGAGCCGTCCTTGGCTCCCAAGCAGCTGGCTTCACCTTTTCTTCTTTCCCTCCAAACCTCCTCTCTTAGAGGAGCTCCCCTAAGAGACAAGATGATATCTCTGCTCTCAGGCTGGGGTCAGAAAGCTTTTTGTAGGGCAAGTTGGGCTAGCCCAGGGCCATGGGAGCTAACAGGCCCCACCTGAACCAGCAGGAAGACGTCATTAACCTGCATCTCTGGATATCCTCAGAGATGGGGGCAAGACCTCTGGCCCCACCTCTAACCAAGACAATTTTCCACATTCCTTTCTTTTGACACCAGCATTGGACCCAAGAAAAGAGCATTGATTTTTTTGCTCCCCACCCCATGATGTACAAGAAGCCTGAGGACCAAACAGGGCTGGTAACATAGAGGCATGGGGACAAGATGTCGAGCGATGACCCTTCCACATGCATGCCGCTTCGTGGAGCATGCAGCTGCTCCTAGCTTGTAAGGGATAGCTACGGCTGGTCATCCATGAGATC